ACTAAGGGTGGGGAGGAGTCTGAAGAATGGAGGGATCTGAAAGGCAGTCGTGCCTCAAGGTGCACGGTCTTACTCACGGGTCGGCCTGTCTCGGACAGAGACCTTGGAAGAATACGGCTGGACCTCAGCACTCCGAGCTCTGCAAGTCAGAAGTCGCAAAAGCAGGGCCCGGGACCAAGCAAGCGCAAACGCCAACTGGGATGGGATGGGATGGGATGGGGGCGTCGGCCGACCGCCCTCGTTTCAACCAATCCCGTCACGCTCTCGTGGGCGCGCTCCTGATGACGTTAGGGGCGTGGATAGATGCCCGCCTCCCCTATTGGCGTTTCCGGTTTCTGTGTGCTCACTTCCGGGCCTCCGCAGCTTTGGATGGTTTGGGCGCGAAATGCTCTGAGCGCAGCTCCTGAAAGGATTCAGTGATCAGTTTTTGGTGAGTAGTGAAAGCGCTTCGCTCGCCGGTGGCTCCAGTTTGGGGGGTGAGTTTTGCGGCCAACACGTTTGTGGCAAATTTGGCGGCTTGTGTTTGAGGAGTTTCAGGTGGTTTTCCACAAGTGGGCGGGAGATCCGAACAGGTTTGCCTTTTGAGGTCAGGGATAAACAAAGTACTGTTTGATTCGCAAAGAGGGAGTAAAGCCACGCATGTTTCCTCCCTCCCCTCCCCGAATCATCCTCATGATTTCTTGGAGCCTTAAGGAAACTGCGGTTGGCAGCGTCGCTACCCCGACGCATCAATTGCAAAAGGTAAGCATTGCGTATTTGTAAGTTTTGGCAGACGTCGTGTTCACCTATTGTACCCACATAGAGATTTAGATTGGTGATTTCCGCGAGTTTCAGCAAGCTGACAAAAAAAAAAAAAAAAACCAAGACAACCTAGAATGCTTCCCTGTTTCCTACAGGGTAAAGAATACATTCTTTACTGCAGTATGTAGTCTGGCCGCAAACTATAGTTCAGGTCTTTCTTCTGCCCATTGCTTCTGCACATGTCAAAGCCTCTCTGAATTTTCCCTGAACAGACTGACTTCTTTTGAGCTGTCCTGCCAGTGGGCCTTTTTTCCTCTCAGATACTTTACTTCCCTTTCTTCTGGCTAAATATTTCAAAATGTAATTCATGTACTACTTTTTTCTCTGAGTACCGTATATCCCCCCATGCACACACCAGTTTGAGATAGGCACTCGTCTAACATTTGTTGTACTGTGTATAATTGACTGTACACGGGAACTGTTTTCATATCTGTCTCTGCCTACTACCACTTGTGGTTGTTATTCAGTCACTAAATCGTGTCCATCCGATTCTTTGATACCCCATGGACTGCAGCACACCAGGCTCCCCTGTCCTTCACTATCTCCTGGAGTTTGCTCAAATTCGTGTCTGTTGAGTCAGTGATGCTATCCAACCATCTCATCCTCTGCCTTCCCCTTCTTTTGCCTTCAGTCTTGCCCAGCATCAGGGTCTTTTCCAGTCAATCAGCTCTTCACATCAGGTTGCCAAAGTACTGGAGCTTTAGCTTCAGCATCAGTCTTTCCAGTGAGTATTAGGGTTGATTTTCTTTAGCATTGACTGGTTTGATCTCCTTGCAGTTCAAGGGACTCTCAAAAGCCTTCTCCAACACCACAGTTCAAAAGCATCAATTCTTCAGTGCTCAACCTTTTTTATGGTCCAACTCTCACATCCGTATGTGACTACCGGAAAAACCATAGCTTGACTGTATGGACCTTTGTCAGCAGATGTCTCTGCTTTTCAATAGGCTCTGTAGGTTTTTCATAGCTTTTCTTCCAAGGAGCAAGCATCTTTTAATGCCGTGGCTGGAGACATCATCCTCAGTGATTTTGGAGCCCAAGAAAATAAGATCTGTCACTGCTTCCATTTCTTTCCCCTCTGTTTGCCATAAAGTGATGGGACTGGAAGCCATGATCTTAGTTTTTTTATGCTGAGTTTCAAACCAGCTTTTTCACTCCTCTCTTTTATCCTCATCAGGAAGCTCTTTAGTTTCTTTGCTTATTGCTTATTGCTTCAAGTATGTATCAATGAAAATAGAGCTTTTCAGATGGTCCGTGGTAAAGGACCAATTTTTTTTGTTATTGTTACTTTAATTTTTAATCAGTCACCACAACTGCTACTTTTGTAAAATACAATAAAAAAAATTACTAGTCAAATCCATGAAACATACAAGGAAGAACCCCAGTGTAAGCCATAAATTTTGGGTGATATGATGTGTCATTGTAGGTTCATGGATTGTAGTAAATACACTGCTATGGTAAGGGATATTGATAGTAGGGAAGGTGGGTGGATATATTCAAATTTTATATTTAAATTCTGCTTAATTTCTCTAAAACTTATCTTAAAAAGTCTCTTTTTAAATGAACTACCAGAAAAATTAAACTTTAAAAAAATAAAGCCAGTTAGTCTTTTGACCAGACCTAACATACTTAATCCCAGGGACAGAGGATACTGGTGGGCTGCCCTCTGTGGGGTTGCACAGAGTCAGACATGACTGAAGCGACTTACAGCAGCAGCAGCAACATAGTTAAAATTGTTTTCAAATTGCTATAAAAGTTTCTAAGTGAATATTTTTATTCTATACTTAAAAAGACTGTAACAGTATGTGAATCAAATTTGGAGTAGCACTAAATTACATGTTATTGAACAAAGAATATCAAAAATGATTAACAAAACCAAACTATAAATAAGTGCCAAATGAGAGAGACCTTAAGAGCCCACAGACTTTTAGAGAGCAATGAGGGAAAGTGGTTAGGAAGGTTTTCAGAAGCAGATGGTGCACAATCTGAGAGGAGGGTGGGCACAGACAGGAGAGTGAAGCTCAGGTAGAACTAGTGCATTATTTTCTTCCTAAATTTGGAATTGGAAACAGCTAGTGGGGTTGACTGATGACTTTTCCTTGCAGGATCAGCTGCAGCCTGTTGGCTCAGGTACATGCACGAGGCTGGCCAGTTGATGCTAGCTCTTGGTTGGAAGTTCAGCTAGGGCTTTTGGCGAGGTCCTCAGTTCCTCTCCATGGACTTTCATCACAGAGTGTTAGCTGAGTTTCAAGAGCAAATATTCCAAGCAAGGGGTAGTGGCAGCTACTAGTCTGTTCACATTTGGCCAGGAAACTGGTACAGAATCATTTCTACGATATTCTACCACTTAAACTACTGGAGAGTCTATGAGATTTAAGACAAGGGGACATAGACTTCACCTCTCAATAACAGGAGTAAGAAGGAATTTGTACCATTTTTAGTCTCCTGAATGGAATGAGGAGTAAATCTTAGTCCTCAATGGTTCCTTCACCTGGATGCTTTTCTCCAGTGAACAACCTGAACTCCTGTACATGGCAGCCCTTCCAGGAGAGGTCCACAAGCAAAGCTCTCATATGGTTGGTTTCTAATTAGGGGAAGTAAAGGGCATGAGTGTTCAGTTAAGAGAATTAGACATTTCAAGAATGAAGCAGAGAAGACTGGTGTAGTATAAGGTACCACATTGTTCAAGAGCAGAGTAAAGTGTATTTTAGCTTCCACTGTGTTTTGTGAATGTGAGAGTTGGACCATAAAGAAGGCTGAGTGCTGAAGTGTTGATGCTTTTGAACTGTGGTGTTGTAGAAGACTCTTGAGAGTCCCTTGGACTGCAGGGAGATCAAACCAGTCAATCCTAAAGGAAATCAATGCTGAATGTTCATTGGAGGGACTGATGCTGAGGCTGAAGCTGCAATACTTTGGTCACTTGATGCAGAGCTGACTCATTGGAAAAGACCCTGATACTGGGAAAGATTGAAGGCAGGAGAAGGGCATGACAGAGGACAAGATGTTTAGATGGCATCACCGACTCAATGGACTTGAGTTTGAGCAAGCTCCAGGAGATGGTGAAGGACAGGGAAGCCTGGCGTTCTGCAGTCCATGTGCTTGCAAAGAGTTGGACATGACTGAGCAACTGAACAGCAAGTATGTTTTGTAACTGATTTGACATGTAGTCCCTAAGTATAGTTCATGATCTTTCAGTTGATTCTTTCCCACCATTTTGGGGGTGAGGGGAAAGTTTGAACTTTTCCTTTTAAAATTTGAGGGAATAGATTTATGCAGAGTACATACTTTTGTCTGTCTCTAAATCTGCATATATAACTGTATTAACGTAATTAACTTTGAATTTTTAGAAAAGAAATGTGACTGATTTATCTATATATCTAATTGTGTGTGTGTGTGTGTGTGTGTGTGTGTATGTAATGTACACACCACACATATTTGGGGGGGGGGCAGTGTGTGCCTGTCCACATACTGTACCTAACGGGTACCTAACTCTAAACTGTCTACTCCTTATGGTCTAATGCAGAAATGAATATTTTATTCCTCTGTTTCTTTTAGCAGAGATGAGTTTGGTGTGAAGAACCTTTGTTATAATTCTTGCAACCTAGCAAGAATTACATCTTAAATTCTTAAGAGGGGATTTGCCACATGAATTTCCACAGTGTAGACTCATGGTATAATCCTAAGTTATCTCCTCCCATCCTTGGCATAAATCTGTCTGTGTGTATGCTGAGTCACATTGAATAATGAATCTATTAAACCTAAAATCTTAAGAAGACCTGAATGTTACTCCGAGTTGACATTATCTGTAACCAGAAAAAAACAATTCAGCACTTTATATTTCCCTTTTCTTGGATTTAGCATGGAGATAACATTACTGTATGGGGGAGTATGAAGTAAGAAATGTGAAAGTGGTTTTATATGACTTTAAGGCCATACAAATGGCAGACATTTTTTAATGAAATTGAATTAGACATCTTTAATGAGAACCAACATTATTTATTTTAAAATATGTTTAAATGCTTTAAAAACACACAATACTATCCCAAAACTATCGTTCTGATTGTTTAAAGGCAAATTTGGAACATTTATAAGTAGTCTTTTTAACAAAATATTTGTAATAAAACAAGTCTTAAGCATTTTTCTGTGTCCTTTTCATCTTTACAGATTTGAAACACTGTTACAATTGTTCCCTTTAAATCAAGATGTCTAGCAAAGCAAATGCTTCCAAGAAAAAGTCTCAACAGGTAAAAAGAAATCCAAAAAGAAAAACCGAGGAAGCAGCAGAAATATCAGCGGAACAGGTAACCATTCAGGACTGTGGTAAAAATACCGTCTGCTCTGTGCAAAGGCACGTGCGAAGAGTGGGGCCAGCTTTGCTGCAAAGTATAGTGGTGCATATTCACACATAGGTTATGGGGAGCTGCTGCAGCACGATTTGTAAAAAGCTTCAGGTAAAGATTGTTTACTTCTTGTCTAAAATATTAATCAGAAAATTCTTTGGGGAAGATGCTATGGGACATTGCTAAGGTGTTCAAATAGGAATAGTGGTAATAAAGTGTACAGATTCTGTGGCATTCGTATATTAAAAGACAAGAGACTCTGTCAGTTGGTGGAGGAGATTTTTTTATTTTCATAGAGAAAAATTAGTTGGAGAGGAATTAGCTTTTTCCTGCCATAATTTTGTGCCTCTCTTATAAAAGAAATAATCAGCAGTTTTTTCTCTGTATTAGGCAATGCCTATATTTTTTTGTTTTACAGGAAAAGTATTTACCATATTTCACAGGCAAAATGAGTAATGATTTCTTTAAAACATTCTTTAGCACCATATGAAATTCTGTTATACATTATCACTGTTGTTCGGGAGTTGCTTTTGTGTATCCTCCACTTGTGATAAATACACACCTTTTGCTGTAGAAGTAGCAGTATACTTTTTTCATCTTTCCAGAAGGTATATGAATTCACTCCAACATACATGACAAATCTATTGCAAAAGCAGTATATTTTTATCTAGTGCTTAATTGTGTGTGCATGTTTGTGTGTTTTTCTCTCTAGGTTAGAAACACAGTGAAAAAAAATAAAAATCATCCAAAACATCTGTCTTCTGAAGGTATTTCTTTTCTATGTTTTGTTTCACCGTATCTTTCTCAAGCTATATCTATTTATGAAAAAGTTCTCAGCATCTTGTTTATGAATTCTGCATAAGCAAAACATAGTAATAAATGGTAGCATTCTCATTTTTGCAAGGATACGTAGTGCTGGTTAGTCAGATACCTAGGCCAGCTGAAATTTTATTTACCACCACTACCAAAATACAGTATGGGTTTCTAAATTGAAAGAAACTAGAGAAGTTCAAAGTATACAACAGTCTGACTTATTCTGATTTGTGATATAGAGACACACCTACTGATTTCTCTTCGAGACAAATATCCTGTTCTGCTATCCCTGTTTAGGTTAGATTGGAGCTAAGTTTGTTTAGAGTAAATTTGTTTGGAGTGATCATCTTTACTTAAAGATCACTTCATCATGGAAGAATTTTCTAGCTCCTCACCCAGGAACAGGTTAGTTCCTCTGGTTTTATACTTACATAATGCACAGTGCTTTTTCTTTTGTAATGCTTTGCATACCTGCAACTGTAATTATTTAATCTCACTTCTCTCCAAAATGAATCTTTATGCAAACCAGTAGTGTATCTCCTTTGTTTATTATAAGTAGAACAATGTCAGTAACCTACCAGACACTCAGTATCTATTCTTGGTTTGGTTAATTGCCTTTGTTCCAGTTGCCATCCAACATACGGCAGAATTCATTTTGCTAGTCTTCTCAATAAGTCCTTTAATTCAGGTCATTTCTGAGAACCAGACTTTTATGCTGAATCCTAATCATTGCAGCTTGGTTCTTCATTTAAAATTGTCTTGGGTTTGTGTCTGCAATATCAGTTAATAGTATTTAAGTTAACACAATAATATATTCATATTCAACACCTGGCATTTTATGACTGTGCAATAAAAAAAGGAACAGCTAATATAGCTTTATAGTATTGTGGTTCTCATAATTCCATTGGCCCTTTTTAGATAAATTTGTCCTTGAATCACTTTATAAATAAAAATATACACATTTCTAGATTAACCACAGTCTTTTTTCTTTGACCAGTGACAAGACAGACAAAGCATACTGCTCTAAAACAGGTAAAGATCGCATCCAACAAGAGAAAAACCTGGCAACCTCTTTCGAAGAGTAGCAGAGAACATTTACAAACTATGATGGAATCGGTAGTAATGTGAGTATGAAATTTTTTCCACCTCACTATTTTCATTTCTACTTATGTTTCCTACAGACAGTATCCTTTTAAATATTATTGTCTATTTTATGGTGATACAGTGTTTTTCTCTTTCTCTTTAGCCTTCAGTAAAAAAAAGCCTTTATAAATGTCAGAAACTTGGAATTTTATCAGTGAAATAAAAATGCAATCTACATGCCCTAATCTGCTCTCTGTAAACTTATAACTTTTTTCTGTTTAAGAGGGATACTTTAGGAAGAAGTTTGCTCAAATTGATACTTTACATGGAAGCTGCCGGTGCTAGAAGGAATACAGAGATAGGACTCTGCCATCAAGGTGCTGAAATCTATGAGAAGAGGCATATAAATTAGTTACAATGATATAATGTGATAGAATTTAGATTATTCCTCTGCTTTAAATGTCCTTGATGCAAAATAAAATGATTGATTCTGCCTGGTTAGTAAGAAGGGGCACTGAAAGAAATTAGAAAAAATAAACAGACTATATTAGTAATGTTTCAAACTAATATTTATTCAATCCCAATATTTATTCAATCCTTATTTTTTCTTTTCTAGAGCAATTCTGAGTAACAGTGTTAAAGAAAAAGAACAAATTCAATATCATCTGAATTTCCTAAAGAAAAGGTAATATAGTTATGCAATTAAACAAACAGTTGAAACATAATTGGTAAATATCCAGTCTGTTCTTGTGTTACCAGAACAGATATTTATGGAATATGTAAGTTTTTTATTTTGGGTTTTCATTCTCTTGTTTTTGTTGTTTTAAGAAGATGAATGGTTTGGGAATATGTATTCTACCCTAAGCTGCTGCTGCATGGGATTCTGAAATAAGTTAAATTTAAGAGAGTTCCTAAAGAATTTGAAAATCAAAAGCACCTACTTGCAAAGTTCAGTTTTCTGTGTTGAAATTTGAAAAAAAGTTGTCAACTGTAACTCTGTTCAGCTTCATTTTAAACAATTGCAAGTTAACAGCTCACCACTCTCATTTGATACTTACCCTTTTGTGTGTTTCTTCATATTATATAACATTATTTGTAACAAGTATAATTTTCCAGGATACTACTGCTCTTTATTTCTGGCAGGTCACAAATGGAGGTTTCTTTTCAAGTGTTTTTTGTTTTGTTTTGTTTTCAAATAATTTTATTTATTTATTTATTTATGGCTGTGCTGTGCTGGGTCTTGGTTGCTGTGTGGGCTTTTCTCTAGCCATGGCGAGTGGGGGCTACTCTAGCTGCAGTCCACGGGCTTCTTGTTGCGGTCACTTCTCTCGTTGCAGAGCACAAGCTCTGGGGAACACAGGCTTTAGTAGTTGCAGCCCCCAGCCTGCAGAACACAATCTCAGTAGTTGAGGCGCAGGAGCTGAGTTGCCCCGAGGCGTATGGGGTCTTCCCCATCAGGGTCAAACCCGCGTCTCCAGCACTGTCAGGCAGATTCTTTACCACTACGCCACCAGGGGAGTCCTCCAAGTGTCTTTAAAGTCACCACTGCCAATAATTTTCAGTGACTTCTTTTTTCCTACTATCTGCCCTAAGCTGCTGCTGTATGGAATTCTGAGGTAAGTTAAACTTAAAGAGAATTTATAAAGAATCTGAAAATCCAAAGCACCTACTTCCAGCTTTCTCTTTGTAGAATGTTCTGCAGCTTAGTTTCCTCAGGTTTGCCTGGAAATGTTTGTGACCTAGTACTTTATTCTTGGGAAGTGTGAGCACAGATACTGCTTTTTAAAATATAATTCTCAATGATATTAACAGTAAGAAAATAGAAAGGGTAAGATGGGATGGAGTAGATGGGTGTGAGAGTTTGTGGAGACAGGTTGAAGAGATTAAAGAAAGACAACTAGTAGTGAACTTGTAAACTGTTTACAGGAATGACAACCTGTTAGTGAAAAAGAAGGACTGACTAAAAATTTGCCGGGACCAGCCGGCAAAGAGAACAAGTCCCAACCACAGCAGCACGGAAGCCTGAGAAAAAAGCTGATAGTAAAGAATGGGGTCGAAAGGACTGAATGCTCTTTAGGCAAGTCAGTGATTTTATTGAGTAAAGCAGCTACCTTTATACTAGTAAAAGCAGAAAACATAGTTCATAAAAATGCCATCTGGTTTTTGTCACATCGATACAATTCTTTGTCTTAAGTGATTGCAGAAGCTTGCATCTTGTTTTTGGCATTCCAAGATAAACTACTAAGTGAAGGTCACTACTATGTTTTTCTTAAGGAAGAACAAAAGAGGCCCGGCAAATGTTTTACTACTTTATCATGGGGTGGCGGGACAGGGAATGGCCTCTTTCAAGGCTTTCCCAGGGCCTTTTTGGGCCTTGAGCAGGCCGGCTCCCCGCAAAAATTTAGTAGTTAAACTAATATATAATAAAAGTGTAGGAAAAATAAAAAGTGTAGCTATTTATGATCTTTTTAATGTGGGGCAGGGAGCCATGTTTGGAGTGTATAAATGAGAATATTTTAGTATGTAATAGCTATTCTTCACAGCGATCACACTGGATCATCAGAAAGGATTAAATTCTGTTCAAGAGATAACCTGTTTTTTCACAATACAGCAGCCGTGGGGATACATATTTCAAAGACTGCTTATTGTCTCCTCATTTTTGCTTTCACAGCGCGCTCTCTTTAGTTCCCAAAGTAGCAATACTCAAGATACTTTCCCTTCTACTGATGTGACATAGCGTAGCCTTAGCAAATTGATTCTAATTAGAATCTGAACAAATTTTTCTCTAGCAACATTTCTCTGGGCTTCCATGGTAGCTCAGCTGGTAAAGAATCTACCTGCAATGCAGGAGACCCCAGCTCGAGCCCTGGGTTGAGAAGATCCCCTGGAGGAGGGCATGACAACCCACTCCAGTAATCTTGCCTGGAGAATCCCATGGACAGAGGAGCCTGGCGGACTACAGTCCATGAGGTCACAAAGAGTCAGACACAACTGAGCGACTCAGCACAGCTCGGCATCTCTCCAAGTATAGTTGGGACACTTGTGCTTAGAGATACTTTGTGAATAAAAGTGATAGAGATTATGTTTCCTGGTATACTAACATATTAAAATCCTACAGTAAATTGTTTCATTTTGTTTAACCTGGTGGTAGAGGTTTAGTCTCTAACTCATGTCCAGCTCTTGAGACCCTATGCACTGTAGCCCACCAGGCTTCTCTGTCCATGGGGTTTCCCAGACAAGAATACTGGAGTGGGTTGCCATTTGCTTCTCCAGAGGATCTTCCCAACCCAGCATCTTCCAAGTTAGTATTTACCACAGGAACTCTTTATTTGATAATTAGTCTTGCCTCTGCTTCTGTCTGCGTGTTGTCTTCATTCTTTTAGACAAGTTGTCCTCAATAGATTAGAACTGTATATATAGATAGCTTCCTGTTTATCTTTTAAGCCTTGTGAAGAAAGAGGCAAAAGAAAGCTCTTAGCCTCTTAACTTCGGTTAGAATATTCTGGGTAATGGATTCTGATTGGCTTGGGTGATTTGCGCCTCGTACTGATTCTGTGGCAAGAGCTGTTATGATTGATATAGATTGAGTTATATATGCTTTTCTTTGTCATGAAACAGTAGAGTTGCTAGTCAATAAAAATTAGCCACTACACTTTCTAGAGGAACATATTTTGGGGAATTCTGACTTATAGATATAAGTATATAGATATAGATATCTGACTTACAGATATATAGATGTTGTAAATGGTGCTTGGATGTTGTTGACATAGTATTATGATAGGTATATTGTAACATGATAAACACTGGTTATATTTTTAGTTTAATAAGATTTTGTAGAATAACTTACAAATTTAGAACATTTGAAACAGTGAATGACCTTTCTGCAGAACAGGTTTGATAAAGTTTTAGAAAAAAAACTGTTTATAAAGGGAATCTTTATTTTACTTAAACCAAAACAGACAGTTTTGTGCTTATGGGTGAATAGCTTAAGTTTATCCTGATAGTTTAATGGAAAGTATGATTGATAGAGTTTAAACAACCGACTTTTTTCTTTACAAAAATTAATATTTTGAGTAAGATCCCGGGAAGACAAATCTTGGGTTCCACTGTTCTTCTAATTGCCTGCAAATCTCAAGTAGTAAGATTTTTTTAGGATCCAGATACACTGTTATTAGACAGAGGGAACCAAATTTAGATTTTGCTTCTTGAACTCAAGAATCAAACCTGGGAAAGCTGTATTGCTGTCTGCGGGAAGCGAGATTAGTCACAGGTCAGTTTGTTTGGTGACTTAACCAGATTTGAAGGGAATTTTTTTTTTTCGTTACTTTTTAACAAAGCACTCTAATCTCTGTTGTGTTTGTGTTAAACTCCATGGAACTAAGTGTTCTTTAAAATCATTAAGTTAGGAAAAAATCATTAACTTAGAGTAACATACAGGCATTCTCTTTTATTGGTCACATTCTGTGAAACAACTGAGATTTAAAGTTCAGAGTCATAGTTAAGACTAACAGAATAATGTTCCATCTCTTACCAGAAATTCACATTGAATGATAGACTTATGTACTATAATAGTCCAGGAAACACATTCAGAAGATACAAGGAAATTTTTAGTTTATTTTAAACTGTGTATAAATAATCAATTGTTAAATGTGTAAAATAGAAACTTTCCCTTTTATAAAGCAGCTTAGGTACCCCATGATTTGTGGTAAATCTTAATCAATCGAAAGACTTAATGAGGACTTGTCAGGGCTTTTGGTGGGGGGAAGGCTTACCGATAAGATTAGCCACTGTTAATAAGAGAATATTACAGCCTTTAGAAATATGAGGGAAAGAAAAAGGGGACTACGGTACTTCAAGACAAAAACAATACTAATGGTACTCAAAAATAAGCAGTTATGTTTTTATTCTGTCCCAAAGATTGTTGCAACTGTGTGAAACCCTGAAAGTCCCTCCCAAAAAGCTGCAAGATTTATCTCATGTGTCAAGTCTACTGAAAATGGAAAGGGCACAGCACAGAACTAATGAGGAAGGTCTGGCATCTTTGCAGGTATGAAGTTTGAAAAGGGAATTCATTATTAGGGAAAAGGGAAAGAAATTTAATTTAAAAGTTTTTAAAATTATGTTATTCTTCTAATAACTATTACTACATCTTGGACCAGGTTTTTCATTAACTTTTTTTTTTAAGCAAAGCAAAACCTTTCGATTTTGGTCCTCTAAAGTTAAGACTATTTCTAATATATTTGTAGTTAAGTAGCAGCCTTATTTTTTTAATCAAACTTTAAATATAATGAACCGTCTTCTTATTTTTGATTAGCAAGTTATAGGAATTCATCACTAAATGCTGTAGAATTTCAAAACATTAGTTTTTCTGTCCTTCAATGCTACTTTATTGACAAGAAGAACACAATCATCATCATCATTTTTATAATCATTATAGATAACATGTAACAGGAGCCTTCTACATTCTAGTCACTGTTCTAAGCACTTTACAGTTATAGCCCTTAATGACTTAAAGAGGCCTGTGCTATTTTTCTTGTTTTACAAACGTGAAAAAGAGAAATATTGGCACTTTCAGCTGAACTTTAGACAAACTGCTCACAGTTGTGATGCAGTCCTATTAGTCCAACTTTAGGGCATGTGATTTTTGATCTTTATCCTATGGAAGGTAGTAGGAGATAATATTTGCTGTTAGGATAAACAACAGGCTTTTAATTAGTGGATACTTTAGCAATTAAGAAAAACAATCTTAAGGGGCTTATTAATTAATTATTAAAACTAAAACAGATTGGACCATATATCCGTTTGCTGTTTTGAAGTAGTTTGTAGATCTGGTCTTTGTCAGCAGGTCAACTTTGTAAACTAATACAAGGTGGTATAAAGTAATACAAGGTGGTGGTAGTTTAAACAGGGGATGCATCCCCAATGAGTTCTAATAAGTCAGCATTCACAAATAGGTCATTCCAGCTTTTCCATGTGATTGAGAATAAAATTGGAAGGGTTTATTTGTAAGCAGCAGATCTACTTGTAGATCTGTAAATTACAGATTTATAAATCTGTACTTTATATATTATAAATATATTGTAAACTTAATATAATTTGTAAATTTACATGTATTGTAAATTTACGTTGTTGTTGTTCAGTCACCAAGTCATGTCCGACTCTTGGAGACCTCATGGACTGTAGCACGCCAGACTTCTCTGTCCCTCACCACCTACCGGAATTTGCCCAGTGGTACCATCCAACCATCTCATCCACGTTACCTTCCTCTCCTTCTGCCTTCAGTCTTTCCCAGCACCACAGTCTTTTCCAGTGAGTCAGCTGTTGGCATCAGGCAGCCAAATACTGGAACTTCAGTTTCAGCATCAGTCCTTCCATAGAGTATTCAGAGTTGATTTCCTTTAAGATTGACTGGTTTCATCTCCTTGCTTTCCAAGGGACTCTTCAAGAGTCTTCTCCAACACCGCAGTTCATAAGCTCTGGCTTCTTTATTGTCCAGCTCTCACATCCATACATGACTCCTGTAAATTTATAGAGTGGTGTTTTTTAGTGGTTTTCTCACTTTCTTCATTGTGTGAGATTATATTTAACTTTCATTCCAATGTTACTTTGCAAGAGTATATTTTCAGTACTGTCACTAGCTTCCCCTCTTAATGAACAGTTGGGCAGCATAATATGGCTTTTTTTTTTTTTAATTTCAGCTTATTTGAGATATAAGTAGCAAAATGGTATGATATCTAAAGTGTACATCATGGTGATTTAATGTATATGTACATTGTGAAAGGATTTCCCCCCATCTTGTTAATTAATGCATCTGTCACCTCACTTTTTTTTTTGGTAAGGACATTTAAGTTCTACTTTCAATTATATAATACAAATTTAAGTTATATAATACATTGTTCTCCATGTTTTGTATCAGATCCTGTGACCTTGTTTGGCCTAGTAAATGGAGCTCATAGACCTAGAGTTTTGGGTACTGAGGAATCAGCACATTCTTTCTGTAAGGGCCAGGTGATAAACATCTTGCTCTTTATGAGTCACATTAGTTTTCTTTGCACGGTCTTTTTTGTTTTTTTAACATCCTTTAGAAATGTAAAAATCATTCATAGCTCTTGAACCAATCAAAAACAGCCCATGAGCAGTTGCAGACCTCTGCAGGTACCCTTTCTAATGGTTTCTAGAAGCCATAATATATTTGTTAAGGAAGATTACTATAATTGACAGTAACAGTTTTGCTTTCAGTATTTGGAAAAAGATATTAAATGTAAATACCAACCATATTGCTCATCAGGATTTCAGAGTTACTACTTTATTACTTTCGTGTGGCTTCTATGTGGGTTATTTACTTGTTCCCTGATCCCCAGAGGCCGCACTGTCCTTTGCTATTGCTAGGACTAGATTTGAAAGCAATGCAATACTTAATGCAATTTAGAAACCCAGAAGCTGGCTAGCTCTATGTGTGGCCTACAGTCATTACACCCCTGGTATTCCCTTATTTATTTCATTTATTTTCCTCCATATATTTTATGTTCTTTTTATGTGAGAAACTGCCACTCATTTTCTGTTATATCTTTGCCCTAATGTTCAGCACTTTTTCTTTTGGCAAATGAAAATAGCAATCAGATGTTCCTAAATTAGAATTTCTCTGCTATTACATACTGCTTAAGGAATGCTGCTATACCTGCTGCTGTGAATCCTTAGGTTCTGCTAAATTCACATAGGTCTTCCAGGATCTCTGATACCTGCAGCTTTAGTAAATTTTTGAGGAAAGATTCCTGTACATCTTTGTTCCATTGGTAAATCAATCTCTAAGGAGACTTTTTTGAAAGAAAAATGAAAATTACCAGTTTCTTCCAGAAGTGTTTCAGTATGTAAGATGTTTTTTAAAATGTTTGGGTTTCATTTAATAGTATATTTAATTTGAAACATTAGCTTTCTTTTTCTGATGCAGGAAGAAACAGATAAAATGGTAGCGACTATAGAGTCAATGACTGGGGATATTCACAGCCTAAAGAACAAAGTTCATGTTCTGAAAAGTGAGGTGGAAGAAGAAGAAAAGAAGATAAAACAGGTAATTGTTCAAAAAAAAAAAAGTTATTACTAGAATCTGGATATAATTTTTCGTTATTAGATTCTACCCAGACAGCTCTTGAGTGTAATAAGAGAAGTCAACTTTTTGAAACAATCTAGCTTTACAAAATAATCTATAGCTTTCTTTTTCTATTTTAGATGTTTCAAATAGATAGTGGGGTGCTCTCTCTTCCTGAACTTTCTCAAAAGAGTCTCAGAGCACCCATCCTTCAGGTAAGTACTTACAGTTTACCATATTAACTGCATCACCAGTTATAAATTTCATATATGTAAAAACATTACATGCTGCTGCTTCTTTTAAACAAATGAAACCTATGATGTAAACTGTAAGGGAAAATTATTTTTCTCCTATGATGGCATAGTTTGAACATCTCATGCTTGTCAGTCGCTGTATAATATTCCATTATATAGATGTGCCATAATATAATTTGTGGAGAGTTTGGAAGTAAATAATTTTTCTAGTACAGTAATGCTATGTACACCTTTGTATATGCATTATTACACATTTGTATAGTCATGGCTGTAGAATAGGTTTCTGGAAGTAAATTCTGACAGTTGCTTTGTTTATGCTTCTAATAATGGCATGTAACTTTTCCTAAAATAGTATACTACCTCCTATTTGTAGTAGGCTGCACACTGGTGACTTATCTTTTTTCAAAGGTCCCCAATAGATACTGTAGTGTCATTGTTTACCCTGGTAGAAAGTCTGTATGTTTTCTCAAAAAATTTTTTAACAAAAATTTTCCAATCTAAAATCTACATAGGGTGAGAGGAATGGAATTGGGCAGAGAGGAAACAGAATAATACAGATTTAAAAGAAGAATGGCAATTAGTTGATAGATAATTGCATTTGAGTGATTATATCATTCTCTCTAACATATCAATACATGTAACATTTTTCATAGTGAAAAGTTAAAAACTAATTACATGGGTAAAGTCAGAAGGCACACACTCATATAAATAAGTCATGGGGGATGTAATGTATAAGCTGGTGACTAGAGTTAATACTGTATTGTATTTTTGGAAGTTGCTAAGAAAATAGATCTGAAAGTTCTCATCACAAGGAAAAAAAAAATCTGTAACATGTTTGGTGATAGATGTTAACTAGACTTACTGTGGTGATCATTTTGCAGTGTATACAAATATCAAATCATTATGTTGTATGCCTGAAGCTAGTATAATGTTCATGTCAATTCTATATCAATAAAAAATAAAATTTAAAAAAATTAATTATTCTATCATGCCCACAGAGAGAAATTCTGACGCTAATTCCAAATCAGAACAGTCTTCTGAAGGACTTGGAAGTTCTCCATAATTCATCCCAGATGAAGCACATGTTCACCTTCATTGAAGAAGTCTATAAAAGACTGGATGCCTCTTAAAGAGTTGGGTTTTTCTTTTTTTGGAGATTGTCCCATATTAATTTAATGTTTATGAATTTGTAAAAATGTTAATCTATGTGATATTGCAGAGGCTGAGGCTTCTTCAGATATGCACTTTAAAATTAACCTCTGTAGATCTACCGTAAGCATCTAATGTAGGCCTTAAAGACTGTTTTTATCAGTTCACAAGTCTAGGAACTCACATTTATGTTACTGTATCTCCAGTTTTATGCCCATAACCATAGTGAGAATAGCCACAATCTGATGGTTTATAATGGCTGGATAGAGCTTGTTTATTGTTTAATGCAAAGCAAGTGTGATACTATGATTTAATATATGTAAATAGTTTATAGTGCCTAGCACATAAAAACATAAGCGTTTGCTATCCTTATTGTTCTTTAGCTGATGACTTGCATTTTCTGTCTGGTCATGTGTAACTCGCAACATCCCCAAATGCCTTTGCTCTTTTACACAACACCCTAGCCTTTTTCTGGCTTCATTAAGATTTGCCAGGTGTCTTTAACTTTAAAGGCAGCATGAACATTTTGTTTCTTTGTTTAGGTTAGTGAATAGATGTTGAATATTTATTTTCTACTCTCATCAGAGCATACCTTTATTTCATAAAATTGTTAAAAAGAAACCCAAGCTCATTTACTCCCTTAAAACAAATGCCAAGCTGCCGGGAGCCATTATGGGAGATCCTGCCCATGATGAGGTCATGAAGAAAATACCGGACAGGCAAGCCCATCCGGGACCCCATCCATGACGAGGTCATGAGGAAAAAACCTGACAGGCAAGGCCGTCCAGGATATAAGGGACCCTCCAGGTTGGCCTCGGCCTCTACCCCACCCTATATCCTCCCCACTTATCTGCTGTTGTTCTTGTTTGCCCTGCTGCAGATTCTTGTGTTGCCTGCCGGGAGCTCTCCTGCTCCTCTTTCATTGAATAAAGACCAACTTAAAACCCTAATTAATAAATCTCCTGGACGCTGGTACCCTATGAAGGGGCCAGGGATGAAGGAAACGCTTCAATTCAAACCCTTTTGCTGGCATTCTGGCTTGTTTGATAAATGTGTGCTCTCATTGCAAAAATGCTCGTGATTGTTCTAAACATCCTAAGCACAGTACAATAACAAAAGAAACTATTAAGCATAGGCCCCTTCGCAGGGTGAGAAAAGCTCCACAAATATAATAGCCACAAATGTGCCTAACAGAAAATACTTTAGATAGAGATTAGCTGGTGACTTCTTGCAGGTAGTTAACTTTTAGACTAAGAGCCTGTTTTGTGCTATATCTGCTGTTTTTGCAGTCCTTCGCATTTCTGTTCGGTAAAAATGTAATCCTATCTAGTTCCCATAGAGATGACGCCTATTAGAAAGAAAATAGATTAATCACAAGAAAAACAGGATCGGCTACTGAAGTTGCTTAAGTCACACCAGGTGCAAGCCATAAAATGTTAGCAGGCCTGAAGGCCAAATGATAAGAAAGACTCTTGTGAACAAAAAGTATGTGGGTGACATCCTGTTTCTGTTGAAGGTCAAGTTGGTGTAATGTTTTGTGATGACCTGTGTGTAAGCAATATGCACTTCCCCCAAAAAGATGTTCTTAAGGGTATAAAGGGGCCGTGGAAAAATAAACTTCAGACTCAGCCCCGAGCTTTGTCTCTCTCTCTCTCATTCGCCGATGCCGTTCATCCTGAGGGTTCCCCTGGATCCTGCTGGGGCTGGACTCCACCAAGCCAAAAAAAAAAAAATCCCTTCTTTCTAAACCTTTCCTCATTATAATAATAAGCATATACATGTGAAGATATTATCACTTAAATATATTAAAAATCATTTTTAACCAATCACAGGGTATCATCTGGGTTGCTTTTAAGTATTTGTAAAATAAAATAACTAATTGAATTACTTTTCTGTCTAACCTAGGATGTTTAGTCAGTTAATTTAGAAGGTGCAATAATTCTGGTGATGCCCTCCAGGCTGAGACCACCAGGAACACAGCTTGGTTAAACAAGTTGGGTGTAGTGCTCACTGTGGTCATTGGGGTTGGGCAGCTCAGCAAAAGGGTCAGAAGCAACATCCTGTTAGGAAATAATGGTCAAGAAGGACATTCATAGAGTTTAAGGGAAGGAAGGTCTTCAAGAAAGGAAACCTGTAATGCAGCATTTAAAGAGAACATGATTGTATATGCTTTGAACTGTCTACTATGTGCTAGGAAAAGCAACTAAAAGAAAAAGATTTTACAAAATGTCTTAAAACTTAAAAAACCGTCACTTGGAAGTTTATAGTCTTGTGTTCCTTGAATGCTAGGAGAGCCCCAACTCACTGATTTTTGTCATTAGTCGTGATGTTTATCATCGTTTTTGGTAGGATAAAGGAGTTACTAAGTCTACTGTTCTGTCAGAACATCTGTTTAACAGGTGATTGAAAGTCAACAGGAATTTCAGTTCACCATTGTTGCTAAGTGACAGTTCTTTATCACACATAAACTGGTCATACTACCCTCTCATAGCTTAGAAATGGAGAAGGAAATGGCAACTCACTCCAGTATTCTTGCCTAGAGAATCTTGTGGACAGAGGAGCCTGGTGGGCTGCTGTCCATAGGGTCACACAGAGTCGGACACGACTGAAGTGACTTAGCTTGCATGCATGCATAGCTTAAAAAAGTACATGACCTAATTTTGAGATATATACAGTATCTTCTGCCAGTAGGCAAAATATACAATATTTTCTTCAAATGCTGAATTTTGTGTACTCTTGGTGAAGAATTTAAGAATTAATAACAGACCCAAATAAAATTGAAATTCCACGTATACAAGGTCCCAGTAATGCAGATGGTTATCCTCTTGAAATATTCTTATCTGTCTAAATTCTCACATACAAAGGCCATGCCAACTATGATACATGTTCTCTTCAGTGATAAGTACCGATGGCAGAAACTTTAGATTCTTAAAGATATTTTGGAACAAAGGATATATGTTATAAAAATGCAGCCTGTGATAAAGATAGCATATCAAATAAAATATAGAGAAAATATATTATTCAGTAAGTGATCTTGAAGAAACTAGCTAACTCCACTGGGGAGAGGGCTGGAGCATGGGTGCATACATACTAAGTTACTTCAGTTGTGTCTGATTGTGCAAGATATGGACTCTAGCCCATCAGACTCCTCTGTCGAAGGATTCTTCAAGCAAGAATGCTGGCACGGTTGCCATGCCCTCCTTCAGGGGATCTTCCCGACCCAGGGATCAAACCCATGTTTCTTTACATCTGCATTGACTGGAGTAGGGGGGGCGGACAGACAGGGATTCTTTACCACTAGCACCACCTGGAAAGCCCAGGCGGTGGAGGGGTGGTGGCGGTAAATACTCCTACTTTATGACAGAATAGATTCAAAATAAATAAATGAAAAAATAGAAACTAAAAAGGATTTATGAGTGAATTATTGATGTTAGTGTGTCTAAACCCCTACAGATCTACCCCTTTTGTAGTACTTTATTGCATTTCGCAGATACTGCATTTTTTACAAATGTTTGTGGCCATCCTGGATCAAGCAATATTGATGCCATTTTCTGAACACCATTATTTTTTAATTAAGGTGTCTACGTTTTTTACAGTTAATAGACTTATAGTATAATGTAAATGGAACTTATATTTGCTGTAAAGTAAAAAAATTGGTGTGACTTGCTTTGTGGTGAGATTTGCTTTATTGTAGTGATCTGCAACTGAGCCTGCAGAATCTATGAGGTATGCCTGTATTATGCATATAAACAAAGATAAAACTATAAACAAAAAAGAATCAGTAGATCACTACATAAGACTTTGAACTTTTTAAGATAAATTTTTTTTAAAAAATGAGCCAAAGGCACAGTACAGACTGAAAAATATCTGCAACATATATAAAACAAATAATATTTTAATTCATAAAGCTCTAAAATCCAGTAACAGGTTAAATACCAATAGGAAAGTGGGCAATTCTCAAAGGAAATAAGTAGTCAATAAGTATCAATACTTGAAAGATTTTCAAGCTTAAAAGTCATGTAAATGCAAATGAAGACAAAACTTTTTCAACTATTGGATTGGAAAAGATTGAAAAAAACTGAAAGGGAAAGTTGCTGAACATACAGGAAAATGGGTACCCGGTAATGCTGCTGAAGGAAGGAGGGCAAGTGGTGTCATTTGGCAGGGGGCGGGGGGACTGCAACCTGTACAGATACGTTAACAGAAACACAATTTACTGTCAGTCTGTAAAGTCATTATTTTATATTAATTCTTCCATTCTCACAACTTTCAGTTGGGCATGTTTAACAAACAGGTTTTGCCTAAATATGAGACACCTGCTCAGTGACCTAAAATTAAAGGATTTACTCTCTTTGATTTGGTTGGATAGAATATCTTGGCATTGTTTACTGAAAATAAATGCAGGTGCACCTGTCAAAATTAATATTTGAGTCATTTAGATTGGCGTAGTTCCCAAACAGAAGCCTCCTACATCCTCTCAGATTTCATTCACTGTCAAGAAATATTCAGCTTTAATGAAGAAAGAAGGAAAGCAAAAACAGAAATTCATGTTTCCCATGTGCACTTTATTCTTTCTAAAGTGACTGATATATTTTTCTGTCCTAACTAGTTTTCTTGTTAAGAGTTGCTGCCCTTTCTTTCTAACGTCACTCTGTAGAACAGTCTCTGGGTCCATCCATGTCTTTACAAATGACCCAATTTCGTTCCTTCTCGTGGCTGAGTGATATTCCATTGTATATATGCATGACATCTTTACCCATTCTTCTGCTGATGGATGTTTAGGTTGCTTCCATGCTCTGGCTATTGTAAATAGCAATGCAGTAAACTTTGCAGTGTGCTCTGTGGTGACTGAAATGGGAAGGAAATGCAAAAGAGAGGGCATATATGTATATATATAGCTGACTGATTCAGTTTATCATACAGGAAAAACTAACACAACATTGCAAAACACCTATACCCCAATAAAACTTAATGAAAACATCAAAAAGAGCTGCTGTCCTTGAATGTATTTCTTGCCATTCACCGCCACACAACCACTTTCATTAAAGTGGTTGCTGCTTGTAGAAGCCATATCCAAACACTGGTCATATTTGTTAAAATTGGACAAAGAGGAACATAAAGGAGGGACATTTTCCAAATACAACAAAGTGGGAATTCCTTGGTAGTCCAGTGGTTAAGATTTGGTGCTTTCACAGTCAAGGGCCCAGATCCATCCCAGGTCTCAGGGGTTTAAGCTACCACAAGCTGCGTGGCGAGGCCGAAAAAAAAAAACAATAAAACTATTATACTTTTTTTTTAATGAACTTTTTCTTAACTAATAGAAACAAATGTGCCTTAAAATCAGTTTTAATCATTCCACTCCTAAAGAGTTCCTTAAAATTAAGGTAGATTTTCAAATGGAATGAAAGCTATATAATGAAAATAACAGTGATAAAGTGGCTGATATTTATTGATCTGTGCTACATGCCAGGCACTGTTGTAAGCCCATTACATGTATACATGTATTTATACCAATATTTAATCCTAATTATGGGGATCAAACCCCATAGTAATCAGTGTTATTCACATCCTGCATAATCTGAGGCAAAGTAACTGAGATCACTCGAATAGTAAGTGATAGAGCTAGAATGTGAAAAAAAATTATAATTTTGACTTCTTAGGAATTTGCTGATAAGCTACAAATAGAAGGTAGTTCTGAAGCTAATGAGTGAATCCTAATGAACAATGTACAAATATTTGATAATATGTATTATGAATTTGTTCAGTTGGATTTCTAGAAGAAAATCTTAAATTTATCTTACATTAGAAACCTTTTTTCTCCCTTTTTTTCCTTTTTTCCTTTTAATTTCAAGAGTCAAAAGTTTAGGTTAGGGGAGAGAGGCAGGTCGGGGTTTCAGGATGGGGGGACACATGTGTACCCATGACTGATTCATATCAATGTATGGCAAAAACCATTACAATATTGTAATTATCCTCCAATTAAATTAATTTTAAAAATGTTCATTTGGCAATGGATATTTGGTAACCTATCATTCCACTGTAGAATTAAATGTATTTGAAAAAAATTTTCTTTAAACCCAA